TGTAAAGTTTCTTTGCTAACAACAGACATCACTGATGGTCTAAATTGCCTTTTTTTTTAAGCACTACACCTCTAAGGCATCTCGAGTTAATATTGAGGACTTCACTGCATTGTTTTAGCTTTCATCTACTTAATTCATGAATAAAATAATCACATTTCCATATCAATTCAGTTGAGGAACTTGGAGGCACTCCAGCGGTATTCAAATGATTTAATTAATCATTGCTATCCAGATGCCTCCGCTGATGATATATTCTTGGTTTCCGTTTCTATTTACTCCTAAATCTTAGTTCATGACTTCTCCAGTGGTAACTCAAGAGTTTTCTGCCACTGCCCACTTGCCCTCTTGTAAACAGTATTTAAGTATTCTGTGATCTGGCCTGCTGAGCTGGATTTCCCTCTGGCACAACATGTTTGCCATCGTGTTGTTTTGCATTTATAAGAATACAGCAATATTATAAGAGTGCTTAAATTTGGCATGGGAAACGTATACTGCTGTGAACTAGAGGGTATGTGCAGATCCCGCTGCTCTCTGCTGCTCTCTTTGTAAATAAGTCTTCATGAAGTCACAGAAATGTATAACTTTAAAATATCTTAGTGTTTAAGAAATAATACAAGTCCACCGCCACCTTTACACTGGTCTTGCATTCTTAGCAATTTGTTTATGCATCCAGTTGATAAAAGGATATTAACTATTTACTTGGGGCACTGTTTGAATCTGCCTCATCAAAGTGCTTTTGAACTTAACTCTCCTATTTAGATCTTTTTGCCACTAGCGCGCAGCTCTTAAGCTGCTACTAGACTCAACAGCTAACACCAGCTAATAATTTTGTTGTGTGCTAATTTAAATTAATTACCCTGCCACAATAAGGACCCACCTGCATCTTAGAACCATTATGTTGAAAGTAATGATAGTGGATCAAAACTTTTTGTCATCTTAATTTAAAGATTGGGAGCAATGGCAAACATCTAGCCTGGCCCTTCCTGAAGGTAATCAATTTCACCTTCTGTAACATTACCTCTACAACTCCTTAACATTAACAACAAGGTGCCGAAACCAGTTTCTACTGAGCTTCTACTACTACTGATCTGCTGAGGTGTAAAACCAACAATACCACATAAAGTAAAAAAGAACTCATAAGCAACTTGCAGGGCTTTCTACTGGGCAGTCTCCCACAAACCCTTGGTTCCGTATTAAGATACTATCCATGGGAATCACAAACAAATTTGCTGAATCGCAACATCCACTGAAAACATGCTTGATTTTCCACTAAGAATAATGACAGAGCACTTAAGTGCTCAAGTTGTTTGCCCTTGCCAAACTCTACTTGAGTCAAACAAAGCAGCTGATTTTACCTTCTTTTTTTTATCGTCAAGAGATCCCTAGGCAAATTGTGGGCGCAACAACGTGTTTCTACTAACCAGTACAACCAGCACCAAAGACTGCAACCAGTAACAAAAACCTTACCACAGCTTAGAGCAACCATGAACAAAGTGAAGAGATTTTATTGGGGACACTGCTTCATAATCTGGAGTAGTGAGGTGCTGGAGCCTATACTAGTTAGTTTCCAATAGTGTTGCTTTAAAATGAAAATATTTGTTGTAGTCATTGGTCTTTATTTTATTATAGCATATAGGCCACACTGAGTTTTTGGAAGTATAAATTTGAAGTTCTTGAGTTAACCAAGCATCTCTGACTGGAGGACATGGTAGGGCAAATTGTCTTATGCATGGTAATTCTATTTTCTGGTTGCTTTGTCAGAGTAAATTTACCTGAGTTTGATTGATTATATGCAATCCTTAAGCTGTTAACAGCTGAATCCTTAATGCTGGCACAACGGAGGAGTGTCCGCTTGGATACAGTGCACTGTACTATACTCATGCTGAGTAGTTCCAGCAGTTATTTTATGTTGAAGCAATGCAGCTCACGTTTCATGTCCCCTTTCCGATTTCCAGTAGAGTTACCTGGGAGAAGCTAAGTGAACTTGTGGTATTTGTGGGTATGTAATATGTGGGTTTAATTGTGTGGCACTGTGGTACAAGAAAGAGTTCATTTTTTCCAATCAAGCAAAATTATATTCAAATGCGTGTCTAAAAGCAATGTGAGGCTGAATTAAGGCAGCCTACCTGTTTTCATCAAATCTGCCTCAGTAAACAGATTCTGAAATATCGTCTCTGAACTTCTTATTGTACTGAATAGTTTGAGAATTTATTTGCTCATAGGTTTAAATGGAGCCCATTTCTTTTTATTCCGTCTTCTTTTTCCATTTATCTAAAATCAAATTCCTTGAAGTATCGTAAAGGACTTTGTACTCTTAGATCTGTGCTGGTCTAACCACTGGGTATACCCACGGTCCAGTATGGTTTGTTAACTACCTTCTAGAGCCCCTGTGGAGAAACCACACGTCTTTTTTCCCCCCACACTCGCCTCAGCCTTGAAAGCATTCCGGTCACACTACATTGATGTTTTCAGGGTTCCTCTGAAAGGTTGTTTCAAGACTCATCTCATTTTCCTCGCTGCAGTTGCATAGTCGTGTGTCGACTGTGAAAGAAAGCGAGCGGGAGTACATATCTGCTGCGTCTCCATTATACATTTCAACATTGTCTCCTTTGCCAAATGAGTCCTTTGTCAGCTCAGAGAGCAGCGCTAATGAGAGAGTTGCATTGCAGCATTTTAGAACCCATTGCTCCCCTATTAATCTGGAGAGATTTGTGTTCAGGCGTATTTTTTTTTT